GCGGCTTCTTCGCTCGATAAGTCGCCTCCTTCGGAAAGCTAGTTCTGGAATGCTTGCCGATAACACACCCTTCACATAATTGATCAGGATGATCAATATGTGGTAAGCCATAAACCATCTTCTTGCGAGAAAGCAAATTGAGTCCGCCAAAATTGAGATGGCCAAACCTCAAATGCCACAACCACGAAGGATCATCTACGCACGTCTTTAGACATCGAGACATCTCACTCTTTATATTAAGAATAAACATCATGTTCTTCGACATCTTCACCTTTGCAATCAATCTATTATTCCGATCTCTCAACATAAGATTAAGATCTCTCATATGAACAAGTATAACCTTTCTCCGAAGTTGTCCCAAACTCAAGATATTGCTTGACATTTTGGAACATAATAAACATTAGTAATAAACGACGTGCACCATTCTTTAAGCGAATCAAAATTGTACCTTTCCCTTCAACAAGAATTTTAGAGTTATCACCGAATGAGACATTCCCTTTAATTGTCTCATCTAACTCGGCAAACATCTCCTTTCTCCCACACATGTGATTACTTGCGCCGGTATCCAAATACCACGTATCGCTTTGACCTTCTTCATCTTCTTTGAATGCCAATAAGAGAACTTGATCATCATTATTTACCAAGTTCGCCTTTTAATGTCTGATGCTACTTTCTTTATTCCAAGCAGTTAGAAGCATAATGGCCAAGTTTATTGCAATGATAACATCGGATTTTAGATTTATCATACCATTGGCTTGTCGAGTTCTTTCCTCTTCCACGAACACCTCTTTGGTACTGGTATCCTCCATCACTTCGAGCAGGATCTCCTCTGCTTTGTCCGCGACCTCTTCCTCGAAAGTGACCTCGGCCACGACCTCGATCACGATCTTGATTTGTCCTGCGATTTTGTACGGGATCTCTTCTTTGCTCCTTTTCATCTCGTATGGTCAACTGCGTTTGGAGAACTTCCTCCACCGGTTCAATCTTTTTCTTTCTAAACCTTTCTTCATGGGCTTGTAATGAACCCATAAGTTCATCGACCATCATGGCATCCAAGTCTTTGGATTCTTCGATTGCAACCGCAATATAATCATACTTCTTGTCTAAGGACCGAAGTATTTTCTCAACAACACGAACATCGGAAACTTCTTCTCCGTTTCTTTTCATCTGATTAACAATTGCCAAAATTCTCGTGAAATAATCAACAATCGATTCAGATTCTTTCATACGAATTACCTCAAATTCGCCTCTCAAGGTTTGAAGGCGAATCTTCTGAACTTTCTGAACTCATTGATGTGTGTTTTGAAGAATCTCCCATGCCTCTTTAGCGGTAGTGGCGTTCGAAACTTTTTCGAACATGGAATCATCTAACGCTTGATAGATGATCGACAGGGCATATTGATCTTTCGTTCGAGCCTTCTCCAAGGCATTCCTCTGATTCTGGTTCAACGTGGCTTCATCCTCTGGCTCATCATAGCCAGTGTTAACAAATTCCCACACACAGTAGGCGCCGAGTAGAGCTTTCATTCTAACAGCCCAGTTACCATAATTTTCTTTGGTAAGACGAGGGTATTAAAGAGGAAGTTGATTGTTCGTTGAGGCCATGATCACGAACCGTAAGCTCTGATACCAATTTGTTGAGCGTCAGAGGCGCGGCAACAATATTGATTTGATGAAAGGAATTTTTGAAGGTGAAACAATCGCAATTCGCGTCTTTCTATTGCATGTCTCAATTACAAGAGAAACAGACTATATATAGACCATAGTTTGATTCGAAATAGGAAACCTCTTTCTAGGAAACCCATTCTAATTAGAAAATCTAATTGACTTAGAAAACTTTCCTAAAATATAACTAGAAACAATATCTCACAATATCTATCAAAATATGGAAATACGAACAGACTCAAAAAGGAAACAAGTACTAACAAATTTGGTTTAATTTCTAACACTGCCCATCAAAATCTTCCGAAGCGCATCATCACCAACACCTTCAATGGACAAGGACTTAAGCGAACTCCAACTAACGCTTTCGCTAGAGGAGAAACAGCAGCCTTTTAAGCATAGCTTAGTCAACGAAGAGCAATTATAAAGCAATGGAGACCAGTAATGCTTCCAACAAATGTTCACTATGAGAACAAGGTCTTCAACTTGATGATCAATCGCAAAGTGAACCCATAAATCAGTGGTAGAGGGGCAGAAGTCCCGCTTTGATATGATGTCAAAGGTGGAACTTTCTCACCTTAAATGACACATGGTGTCTCAAAACCCCGTCCACAAACGAATTATCATAAAAAGAGTCGAACCTGAGATCTGAAATAGTGGTCCAAATAGACCGCCACCTTTTCGACAAAATGCAAGTTTTGAAGATGTCCCTTGTGGGCAAAAAGGAGAAGATGTGGTGGATTAGGCAATCGGGCAAGAGACTGGTGTAATCCTCGTAATCATGTCGGCCTGTGGCCTGCGTCGAAGTACGCACCATGGCTTGTGAATGGATTCTAGCGTCTCTTTTTTCTCTCTATTCAAAGAAGCATGGGCTTGTGCATGATCACCCTCTCTTCGTTAGATTATGGCTGAGATTTGTGCTACTATATGCTGGAGGAAGTTCAAAATTTTATACTATGCTTAATGCATATATTCTTTTATCCTTCCAAATCGCATAAAAATGAAAGCAATATTTTATGCATTGGGTACATGCCTAACGTGGTGTAATTAACTAATCATATTACTTGCTCATTACATTGTATCTAATATACTTCAAAGAGTTGGACTGTTTCCTCAACATATACTGATTAAACCTGCTCCGGTTTCAATAAATGATCTTTTTCATGATTTTGCACCAATTATTATAAATAAGAAAAGCTTACATATCATAAAGGGCCATATGATAATAACTAAATTTTGTAACAAACATGCTGTTTAACGAGGAGTCACAAGAAGAAGATTATATTTATTCATGTTAATATGAAGTAAAAGAATTATATTTCCTGCATAAATGATTTTTCGAATTATGACATCATGAATTGACCAATGAAATATATTAAATAAGGTCACTTTAAAGATACGAGTATTAGTGATGTCTTTTATCTCATCTGGAAAATTGAAACTGAACACGCGCGATCCTGTAATAATTTTATTTCCTTTTTAAGGACCTCTTTGAACGGGAAAAGTATCAAATTAGCCTCATTAAAATCACTCTATTACCACATGAGTATTTGATCAATAGATTTTCAAGTGTCTGACAATCGTGGCACAACTTAACATGCGCTCGACTCTCTTTGTTTAGATTTAGCCAAAAAGTGAAGATCTGTACAATGTTCGCTCTCATGTTAGAACTATGAAATTAGCATTTTCGAGTGTAATAATTTTTAGGGAAAAAGTCTCCAAAAATTTTAAACTATGTCCATTGTGATATATTTACCCACAACTTTTGTTTGTGACACAAAAATAACTAAACTTGTATCTGGGTGACGCATTTACCCTTCGTCAATTTTCCGTCAATGAACACCGTGAAAAATTTGCCTTCATGGATGGCGGAAGACAAACTGTGTTGACAATGGTGCCTACGTGACTTAAATGAAACAAAAATGATGCCGTTTTGGCTAAAAAATTATTTTATTGAACCTTGATAAAGAGTAAATGTATCACGCAAGTACAAATTTGAGTTTTTTTATGTTACAAGAAAAAGTTTATGGTAAATTTACACGTTCAACAAGTGTGCTTGGGCACTCTTTTTTGTTGAGTAAAAAGATGAGCGGTGATTTCAATCCAAAAATGTACACATTCTCGATTTAGTCACTTAAAAGAGTGCCGGAGCAAACTCGACGAAAGACGAAAGACATCCAGCAGATGTATATGCACATTAGTGACTTTTCCGTGTGCAAGTGCAATCTTTCAACAACTCCGCGATCACTCCTCCTGCAGCTCCGAATCGAAACCATACTATCTTCTTCCGCTGATATATTCAAAGGAGTTGCATCATGGCCAAAATTAGAGAGACTGGATTGGTACATGTTACAAAAAACTAATCACCAATTTGGATATCCACAAAGCCTCGAATCGATGTGGTGCTCTCGTTCCACGCTCCAAAACTCTCGTAAAAAAGGATAACTATTATTTTTGTGTTCGCCGTCAGTGTAAAAAAACTTTTTACACGTTTATTGTTGGATGGGTGACAGGTGTACTCGGAGATTCGCGTAACCGCGCTCATTTGAGTGTTCACCCTTTCGACCTTAAACATGTAAAAAAAAAAATTTACATTGACATTGAACCTAATAAAAATCCAAAAATGAAAATAAAATTATTAGATTCACCCACTTACTCTAGTTTACGTATTAATATATATATATATATATATATATATATATATATATATATATATTACATGAGTATATAAATTTTGAGTAAAAAAAAAAGAAAAAGGGACGAATTGGTGGAGAGAATTGTCCAATGTCTATATCTTAATAATTTCACGCCAAGTGAGGAAGTACAATCAGAACCATGCCTTGCCCTTTTCCTTTCTTGTTTTTTCTTTTTTTTATCTTTTTCCTTGTACATGCTTCATCCTTCGCATGGCCAACCAAAAAGAAAAACTTTAACTTGGAAGAAAAAATGAAAAAGAAGAAGAAGAAGGAGAAAAGTGATGGAAAAGCTCTTTATATTCTTGATATAATGATTGAAAAAATATCATCACTTATAGGAAAATCAACATTTTTCGGGCATTTCATGTGCATTTGGATGACTATCTTTAGAATTTCGCGTTAATGACCTATCATCTAGTCACAAGATTGAAGAACAAAAGAGTAGAAGAGAACATTTTTCTCTAAATTTTTTGGAAGTTTAAGGTACAAAAAGAAAGAGATTTGTGAATGTCGACGACCATATGTTGGATTAATATTCATATTCGACCACATTAAGGAAATTAAAAGGGGATTAGAAAGGCAACAAATTATTTCGCATCGTCAATTAATGATTTCCAAAAAAGAAAAATAGGAACACCATGATTAAGAAAAAGAAAGAGAACATTTTATTATGTATCGTATTGTATTTACACAAAAATGAGAAAACCATCCCTCTCGATGGTTTTTTCCACATTATTCTCCAACTAAAAAGATATCAAAGAACCTCCCTATCAAAAAAAGAAAAAAAAAAGGGACTATTTACTTTTCCTCCCCTATGTTCTTTCCTTTTTCCCCTTTTCGCCCCTATTTTCTCTCCTTTTCACCTTTCCAGCCCAGGGCCCTTCCGACCGTCTACGGCGACGACAGATTCACGTGCACGCTCGCCGCGATCGCTGAGCCGCACGCCGGGCAGTTCCGGTGGCTGGGCCCGCACGCCGACGCGCACAGGCACATGTGCCTGCACGGCAGCAGCACCACCGTCTCCCAGCAGCGCCCCGTGCACCACCGCCCCGGCCTCAGCGATTCCACCGCCGCAGCAGCATCGCCGCCTTCCGCGCCCGCCGTCCCGGCATCGTTGCTCCCGCAGCAGGAGGACTCCGCGTCGTCGACCACCCCGCCGCCGCCGCCGCGGGCGAGGGCGTGCTCGAGTTTGGAACGGAGGAAGTCGGCTTCGGCCTCGTTGTCCTGGGCGAGGCCCCGCCAGATGCGGTTCTCCGACAACAGGGACTTCACTTGCTCTCGGAGGAGCCGATTCAATTCCCCCATCTTCGTGATCTCTTCGTCTTTTTCCTTGATTTTTCTTGCCAACCCCTGCGTCTGTAAGGAAGTCAAGAATAAAGTTGTCAGGATTTTGTTTGTGGAAATCCCAGAACAAGTCATAAACCCTAATCAGTCCATCAAAGACTTGTCGAAGCAACACAAACTCACGACGATGACGAGGAGAAAAGGCAAAATTTAAAAAAGGAAAGGAGGAAAGAAGGGTCATTACTTACATGTTGGGAAATCAAAGGGTCGATCTCCGATTCGTGCCCCAGAGACGGCGACGCCTTGGTCATCTTGCGAGGATCGTGATTCGCCGAGAAGCAATCGCCGCTCAAGTGGTCGTCGCCGATGGCGTCTCTGGACCGCTTGCGGTGGTGGGTCCTGGGGACAGAGGCGGCGGCGGCGGCGGCGGCGGCGGCGTTGTAGTCGCCGGTCGATGATTTCGCCGCGCAGAACTCGGGGATTATGCGGTATTTCCGGAGGCGGCGGCACGACGGCCGCGAAATCTGGTCGGGCGGCGTGGTCTCCGGCAGAGGGATGAAATCCTCCGCCGCCTGGATAGGGTAGAAACAGGTCGCCATGAGAGTCGTTCACAGCGACAGAGAGAGAGAGAGTTTCAGACGAAAAAGACAGAGAAAGGTGATTGGTGTGCGCGTGAGGGAGTTTGGCCCTTTTATTTTGGAGCGTTCCCGACCGTTGCGACGACGCGGGCGGGCACGCGGCGACCTCCGGGCGGTCGAGGGAGGCTTGGCACGCGCGCCTCGGCGCAGGCAGAGGCGGCTGCACGGCGGCGGCGTCGGCGGCGGCACACCCCGACGCCCTCCTGTCCCCGCCGCCGCACGCCGTGAAAATTAAATGTTTCTTTTTTAAATTTTAATCGACATTATTTTTTTATTAATTCTTTTTGGCACATTCCCCCACTGATTAAAATTAAAGTGTGCCGCTATTATTATCCACGTACTTGTCAAGTACATCCTCGTTCGTATAAAAAGTCAAATTGGGTTCGTGAATAAGATTTACTTTTTTATTTTCTTGAATTCTTTTCGCCTACAGAATTGACCCACATTTTCATTTGAAACACATTTGACAAGAAACATGTTCAATCTTCAATTAATTTTTTTAACTATTGGGTGGGTCGGAGATTATTTTTAGAGAAAAATATAAATATGTGCGTACGGATACTATTTCGCAAGTTTAAGGCGGAGCACGTTCGCATGGGCTTGCGGAGAAAACTTCTCCTTCGCTCGCGTTCTCCGTACGCATGAACTTCAGGAGGAGACTTTATCGAATCATACGGACAACTGAATTATAGCTGTGAAAACTGGGGAGACTTGTCAATAAGCATGCGACCCTATTGGTAAAGGGATTGGAGAGTGAAGATCCTAATATATACGGAATTCGACTCCGCATGAGGTAGAGCAAAAGTCAGAGAGTAAGGAAAGTTAGAGTTAAGATAGACAAAAAAAAATAAAATTGGGAAACTCCACATTTGCTGGCCGGCTTTGATAGGTGCAAAACCTACCCACCGCACATAATTTAACTCAGTACGTCGTTCTGAGGGATGTGTACAGGTTCAGCTTCCCCATAAATACACTCGAAAACTTGGAACAACTTGATTAATGTAATTATCATGATTAACGTAATTATCAGGTAATTAATGTTATTAATCTTTTGTCTTCTGCTTATCGTGATCAATGTGACCTTCACCATCGTTCCTCGGTTGGAATGTCATTCGACTTTGTCTCCTCTAAGGGAATGTGTCTTGTGGCTCATGACACCTGATTAATTATCATATCTAAATCTTACTTAGGAGCTCGCTGTTCACCTAAATAGTATGCAATTCCAAATCTCTGGTACACCTATCACTTTCTCAATCGATTTTGCAATAACACTTGCGATCGCTAGTTGAATATATGCTACACCCATACACGACACTATAACACAGTGTGTTAGCTGGGAGGGTGAGAGAGGTGTTCATGACGTTCAGGTTTTAGCCCAACTTCTAGAAAAACGATGGGTATAATCTGAAAATGCGTTGGCGGAGATAAGCGATGAAAGAAATATCAAGCGGTTCGAGCGATAAAAGTGCCCGTTTTCTCCGTCGAGACTTTGGACATGAGGGGATCATCACAATCGACGGGATTATTCACGTCTTTCATGTGTATATCGGCTACATCGCCAATAAGTCCAAACACTCGTCGGGTAAAAATGGTAAGATCTTCGATAAGGCAATCTTGCCGCGCTCAATATCAGGTGCTTGACAAATTGCTTGTCTACATATTTTATTTCATTAGCCACGGTGCAGAAGACATTAAGACTGTGGCATTGTCGGCATTGTGGAGATGGTAGAGATGAGGCTGTCCTGAGCCCGAGTGGCTCAACTGGTGCCGACACAATCACGCGGAGCACACTCGGGAGATCACCGACGCCGATCCTGTAGAACGCTGTCGGAGGCGAACCGGTCAGCTTTTTCCTGCAATGGGATCGGGGAGCGCAAGCGATCCGTCGAAGCGAGAGAGACCGAGGCGGAGATCATGATCATGACAAGGAATGAACCGGCCGGGATCATGAAATGGGGTCGTAAGTGGCGGTCCATGGTTACGGCTTGGGAGGGATGTCTTGCTGTTTTGGACGGCGATTGGGATGGTGCTCAAGAAGATTTCGCTCTCTTTGGTTTGTTTTGCTGTGAGTATAATTTATCGCTCTATATTGATAACTAATTCGTACATGTATTTTCATTTGTCACAGTCTCCTATATATATAATTTTATCTTGTGCTTGGTAAAAGTATACTGCTTGAAATGTTTAATTTAATATTTTTGTTAGGATGTGCGACTTTGAAATCGCATTTGCACTTGGGCCTCGTTTAGATCTATGTATCCTTAAATTTGTTCGGGATACCTATTCTAAAACCGAGCGAAGCATGAGATTATTCGCCCCGTAAGACATTATTGTAACCCATCAATGTATCGGATAGGATCCCATTCATACTGGATTGATACATGTTAAAAAAATTTGGATATGTACAAAGCCTCAAATCGATGTGGTGCTTTAGTTCCATGCTCCAAAAGTCTCGTAAAAGAGGGAAACGATTATTGTTTCATTCACAATCAGTGTCAAAATTAAAATAGTACTCGAAATTTAAAAAATTTTGTAAAAAATACATGTGAATTGACGTATTAATATTTACATTACATGAGTATATAAATTTTGAGGAAAAAAAAGAAAAGGCATGAACTCGCGGAGAGAAGTGAGGAAGTACAATCAGAACCATGTCTTGCCCTTTTCCTTTCTTGTTTTATCTTTTTTTCCCTTCCTTTTTCCTTGCACGTGCTTTATATCCGTTGCATACCCACTGTACTTTTTTGACGAATTAATAACAATTTACTATCCCCATTTAGAAAATTATTGAGACATTGATTAAAATAATATCATCACTTATTGGAAAATCACCAATTTTCGGACATTTTATGTGTTAGAATTTTGCGTCAATGACCTATCATCTAGTCACAAAATTGAAGAACAAAAGAGCCTAAGAGAATATTTTTCCTTAATTTTTTTTGGAAGTTTAAGCTACAAAAGAAAAAGATTTGTTACCTTACCTAAAAAAAAAAAAGAAAAAGATTTGTTAATGTCGTGAGGATACGTTGGGATAATATTCATATTCGAGTGAAGCAAAGAAATAAAAAAAAAAGGGGCGATTAGAAAGGCAACAAATTATTTCGCATCATCAATTAATGATTTCCAAAAAAGAAAAATAGGAACAGCATGATTAAGAAAAAAAAATATTTATTATGTATTGTATTGTATTTACACAAAAATGTAAAACCATCCCTCTCGATGGTTTTCCCCATTATTCTCCTTCCTATCAAAAAAAAGAAAAAAGGGTCTATTTATTTTTCCTCCCCTATATTCTTTCCTTTTCCCCCTTTTCGCCCCTATTTTCTCTCCTTTTCACCTTTCCAGCCCATGGCCCTTCCGACCGTCATGGCGACGACAGATTCACGTGCACGCTCGCCGTGATCGCTGAGCCGCACGCCGGGCAGTTCCGGTGGCCGGCCCTGCACGCCGACGCGCACAGGCACAGGTGCCTGCACGGCAGCAGCACCACCATCTCCCAGCAGCGCCCCGTGCACCACCGCCCCGGCCTCAGCGATTCCACCGCCGCAGCAGCATCGCCGCCTTCCGCGCCCGCCGTCCCGGCATCGTTGCTGCCGCAGCAGGAAGACTCCGCGTCGTCGACCACCCCGCCGCGGGCGAGGAGGTGCTGGAGGGTGGAACGGAGGGAGTCGGCTTCGGCCTCGTTGTCCTGGGCGAGGCCCCGCCAGATGCGGTTCTCCGACGACAGGGACTTCACTTTCTCTTGGAGGAGCCGATTCAATTCCCGCATCTTCGCGATCTCTTCGTCTTTTTCTTTGATTTTTCTGGCCAACCCCTGCGTCTGTAAGGAACGAGAACAAAGTTGTCAGGATTTTTATTTTTGGAAATCCCAGAACAAGTCATAAACCCTAGTCAGTCCATCAAAGACTTGTCGAAGCAACACAAACTGACGACGACGACGAGGAGAAACGGTAAAATTTAAAAAAGGAAAGGAGGAAAGAAGGGTCGTTACTTACATGTTGGGAAATCAAAGGGTCGATCTCCGATTCGTGCCCCAGAGACGGCGACGCCTTGGTCATCTTCCGAGGATCGTGATTCGCCGAGAAGCGATCGCCGCTCAAGTGGTCGTCGCCGATGGCGTCTCTGGACCGCTTGCGGTGGTGGGTCTCGCGGACAGAGACGGCGGCGGCGGCGTTGTTGTCGCCGGTCGATGATTTCGCGGCGCAGAACTCGGGGACGATGCGGTATTTCCGGAGGCGGCGGCGCGACGGCCGCGAGATCTGGTCGGGCGGCGTGGTCTCCGGCAGAGGGATGAAATCCTCCGCCGCCTGGCTAGGGTAGAAACAGGTCGCCATGAGAGTCGTTCACAGCGAGAGAGAGAGAGAGAGTTTCAGACGAAGAAGAGAAAGAAAAGGCGTGTGGTGTGCGCGTGAGGGAGCTTGGCCCTTTTATATCGGAGCGTTCCCGACCGTTGCGACGACGCGGGCGGGCACGCGGCGACCGCCGGGCGGTCGGGGGAGGCTCGGCACGCACTCCTCGGCGCAGGCACAGGTGGCTGCACGGAGGCGGCGGCTGCGACGGCGGCGGCGGCACCCCCCGACCCCCTCCTGTCCCCGCCGCACGCCGTGACAATTAAATGTTTCTTTTTTTATTTTTTAATCGACATTATTTTTTTTATTAATTCTTTTTGGCACATTCCCCACAGATTAAAATTAAAGTGTACCATTGACCAAAAGAAAAAAAAATTAAACTGTACCGCTATTATTATTCAGGTACTTGTCAAGTTCATCCTCGTTCTTGACATCCTCGTTCTAGATTAAAAAAAAAAGTACATCCTCGTTCATATAAAAAGTTAAATTGGGTCGTGAATAAGATTTATTTTTTTGTTTTCTTGAATTCTTTTCACCTACAGAATTGACCAACATTTTCATTTGAAACATATTGACGAGAAACATGTTCAATCTTCAATTAATTTTTAAATATTGGCTGGGTCGGAGATTATTTTT